GTCACTATGAGTCAGCATTGACTGGATGGCAGTGAGAGAGAGAACTTCCACAGGAGGGGCTAGGGCAGTCCAGGCTGGCTTACCATGGGGTGGCACCTCTGATAGGCAGGGGAGTAACTGCTAAGCACTTAGTAAAAAAGTCAACAAGATAAGCAAAAAGCAGAGGCTTCCCTCAAGTGGATTCCCAGTCACAGCGACCCCCAAATTGCTCCGAAGAGTTTTCTCCATGGGGAAGCAGATTAAGAGGCCTTTCTTCCTACAAGAGCACATGCAGTTATTCAAGGAGGTTTTAATTCCAAGTTGACTATCCTCTACTATCTGCCATGAGGTTTATGCTTCCAGATGGTTCATAATATACCAGGGAGTGCAAACTAATTTCAATCAGCCAAAACCCAATATTAAAAACAAAACAAAAAACCCCAGCCAATCTGTTAGAATAATCTATCATACCTTTTCTGGGCCAACCTGCCCCTTCACCCCACTTCCTCAACCTACATTACGGAAACCAGCTCATTTGCTGAATTTGCCTCCCTCAAAATCACCTCCTTAGCAAGCAAGACCTTCCCAAGAAAGGGTCTTTGGGCGAAACCATCGAGTGTGCCTTGTGGGGGGGGGGGAGCACCCTCGGCCATTTCCTCTCTGCTCTGAAATCTCCTACAGGATCTGCCATTTGGGGAAGGTCATGTGGTCCTGCCAGTCTCCTGACTAGCCTTAGTTCCCTTTAAAAAACCCTCCCCTCACTGCCTACTCACTGATCTCAGACTGTGGCTCTGGATGGGAACAGGAAGCTTCATCTTTCTCTGGCACAATGGCCAGTGGTTTTGAACTGCTGGCCTTGCGGTTTGCAGCCTGATGCATAAACCACGATACCAGCAGAGCTGTATCTCTACTCCTTGAGTTGTCTGCTCTGTGCTCCAGTGCCTAATCCCCACCGGGCTCTGACCCAGCCAGCTCCATACATCCTCTCCCGGCTCCTTGCCATACTCCCATCTGGGTGCTTCCAAAACTTACCTTCAGGGTCACACTCAAATGCTGCCCCAGTCAAAGGACTCCTTTGATAGCTGGGGACTGTGTTACTCCTATCAAACTGGACTCACACCCTTTTTTTCGGTTTTGTCTTGTTTTTTTAAAATCATTTTATTGGGGGCTCGTACAATGCTTATCACAATCCACCCATCCATCCATCGTGTCAAGCACATTTGCTGCCATCATCATTCTCAAAACATCTGCTCTCCACCTGAGCCCCTGGCATCAGCTCATTTTCCCCTTCCCTCCCAGTTCCCCCCTCCCTCATGAACCTTTGATAATTGACAAGTCATGACTATTTTGTCATATCTTACACTGTCCAACGTCTCCCGAAGGGCTCACACCTTTTTGTGGTACTTACTACACGCTCCTTAAGGAGTCCTGGCGGTGTAATGGCTACTCGTGCTAACAGCAAGGTCAGCAGTTCAAAGTCATTCCTCGCTCCTCTGGAGAAAGACTTTCTACTCCCACAAGCAGTTACAGCCTTGCAAATCGACAGGGCAGTTCCACCCAGTCCTATAGGGTCGCTATGAGATGGAATGGCTTCGACGGCGGTGAGGGAACTACACCCTCTTTAGCACCGGGGTCACCCGTGGAAGCCTCTAGTGGGCGAAGGCTGAGATTGTCTGACCCCGTCAAGGTTTCCCGCCTCGGAAACCCAGCGGAGCGGTTCCCCTGTCCGATAGGGTGGCCAAGGTGGCGTCAACTGGAAGACAGTGGGATCTTCTCATTTTTCTCCGAGGGCAGGAACTGCAGATCAGACCCCCTTTGCTCTGGCTGACGTCTCCTTCCTGGAGGAAGGCGGGGTTTGTGGGCTCGGGGGCGGCTGGAAAACAGTGTCCGGGACATGCTGCCTTGTTTCCAATACAAATGAACTAGATGCCTGGGCACCGAAGGTGGGGCACACACCTCGCTCCTCTTCCTGCTCCAGTTCTTCTCGCTCCGCAGGCTGCTTGTTTCCCACACAAGGAACTAACTAGTTGTGGGTGGAACGCGTGGGCTTGGCCTGGGGCCTGGTGATTCGGGCACCCAGACGGTTTGGGGACCACAGTTAATGACTCGACCACGCCCGGAAGCCCTGTCAGGGCAGGAGGAGGGTGGAACCTGGTTCCCACCAGTTCCACGTTGGAAGCAGCTGTGGCTTCGCCCCAGGTGTCCAGCTGAAGACAAAACGTTGCGGTGCCGTCCCCCTCGGGGGAGCCTTACACACAACAGGTCTGGCGCGAGAGAGAACCAGGTAAAACCTGGCCTCCGGCTTGTTCACACGCGACCCAGCGATGTCCTTACGAAAAGGATAGCCCCTGAGCTGTAACGGGCAACCGGGGGCTCCCGGGTACCGCCGCCCGTCGCAGGAATCGCCAGGCCGCACAAAAAC